TATAATTTTCTGTTAGGTCTGTCCCTAATAATTCTTATATTAAGAAATTTAGTTATTTTACCAAGATTTTTTATTTTATATATTTTCAAGAACTTTTAAATTTTTAATTGTTTGATTCTTTTGCATAATATAGTATAATTATATTATTAACAAAGATTATTAGAATAAGGTATTTATTTTGAAATAGGTATAGGTTTTTAGGGGACTGGTTTTAGACCTAATTTTTTTTTTAGAGTTTTACCTATTTTTTTTTTTTTTTTGCTATAAATAGTGGTGATCTTAATTTATATAGTGCCTGATTTAATTTTAGAGCTTTATTTTTTTTTTAACCAAAGCCAGGTAAAAATTAAATATAAACAGTCTTATTTAGAGCACCATTTAAAAAGGTGTTATCTATGTTAAATTGTATAAATTTAAGGTTAAAAGCTGCTATTAAGGTAAATAAAGTTCTTAGGGTTCTTAAAGCTAGGGCAATTACCCTAATATCTAGATTATTTATAATCTAAAGATCACCTCTAATATATATTCTAGCTTTAAATTTAGCTAGATATCCTTGGTTATTAAACTTATATGTAAAAACCTATTTTAAAGGTAAAATTTAATAACCCTTTATATTATTCTTTTTAATATGGTAGTCCAGGTATTTATATTATTTAATTATTAAAATTTAATATTTGCAGCTTGAATAAACCTGTTTTTAAAAGGATGGTCCTAATAGTTCTAACCAATTTTTTAGTGGGTTTGGTAAATCTTCTTAATAAATTTTCTTATCTTTTTTTATATAAAGCTGCAGAAAAGGCTTTAAAAAAAAATTTATGCCTTTTTAATAGAGAATTAGGTAATGGGGTTCTATTATGCTTAGAACCTAATGCCTGATTTATATTAATATATTAATAATTATCTTGAATTTCAACATTTTAATTATTATTTTCAGAGTTTTCTTAATATAATTAATAATTTTAAAAACATGAGTTATCAATTAACACTATTAGTAGTATATAAAATAGTGATATAGGTTAATTACCAAGAATTTGGTTATTTTAATTATATTTAGGTTTTAAGGTTTATTATTTTCAGCACTTTAATTATAAAAATAATTTTTATCAAGATCGGGTTCGTCGTTATTAATTTAATTATTTAGTATAATAATATTTTTAATAACTTGCTAAAATTCATCTCTAGAAAGGCTTTCTAGAGGTTCTTGAGTTTTTGTTAATTAAATTATCAGAATATTCTGAGTTATAAAATTAATTTTTATTAAAAATGCAATCTCTGGCTAAAATAATCCTATTTTAGGTAGGAATCTATATTCTTTATATATTTAAGGTAATATAGCCTACTAGAAACCCTATATATACCCTAGGACTGAGTTTTTTAAGTCTAGGTATATATAGAATTCGGGTATAGGCTTTGTAATTATAGACCTTTAGATTTAAAATAAATGGTTTCTGGGTTATATACCCAGGTTTTTCAGGTAATTTTTTTTATATAGGGTTTTATATGGGGTTTTCCACCCTAATTACTTAGTGGGAGTCCGATTTAGAATATATATAGCTAATTTAATTACTTCTGGCCACAGGGCTTTAGGCAAATTTGCAGAATTTATTAATAATCTTACTTTATTAATAATTAGAGCACCAGCTCTTTCTATATATGGATTTTGTTCAGGGTGTTTAGGTGGTGACTCTTTATAAATTATACCTTTGTCTTAATAAAATTTACTAAAAATTAATGCAAGATTTCTGTCACCATCTGAATAGAATTTCTTGACTTAAATTTTGAATTGGTTTTAATATATTATAGATTGATTAATTTAATGTTTTCAGGTTAATATTATCCCTAAATAATATTTAGTCACTGGGTTATAAGCATGTAAAATATATAAATCCCTATTATATACTTAATTTATATGGATTATATCCTAGTAAATAGATTTAAATAGTAATTAGCCTATATTAATATATCTTTTTTTAATATTTACTTTTTATTTTTGACATTATATATAGGACAATTCTTGAAGTTATTATATTCTGCAGGTTTAATAGAAATATTATTTACTGCATCTTTTAGATAACTTATAACCTTTTCACTAGGGTGCCCAAGACATTGGTGCTATTTATATACAGAAGCTGTTTCTAATATTAGTTGCTTAGAGGTTCTGTGGGTTATAAATAATTAATTATTTTAATTATTCTGAGTTGAATTATCCTATTTAATTAAAGAGATTCCTGATTGGTCCTTTAACATGCAGATAATTTTGATTATAATTTTTAAGCCAATTATTTCGAGTATTATAATATAGTCCTGCAGCCTTCGCTTTTAATACAGAGACTAAATTAATATAAAAATTGGGAATATATACAGTATTTAAAAGCTTAAACTATATATTTCCTTTTAATAATTTTAAGGGGAAATATATACTGTACACTAAAAAGTACCTTTAATTTTTATAAAAAGTGTCCCTAATTTTAATAAGATATTAATTTTATTAGCTGAAAATTATAAAATTTTATCTAAAATTGCAAATATGGACATTTAAAGCAGTATTAAAAGTTTATAAGCTTTTTAACAAATTTTCTAGACTATTTTTGTAGTTGTTATAGCTATTTTTAGTTCAGGGTTTTGATTTGCTGATTTTGCTTTTAATAAAGCCCTTTTAAAAGCAGTTTTAAACTTTTCACTTTTATTATAAGTATTATCAAATTGTTTTTAAACCTCTGGGTTAATATCTTGGTCTTAAGCTAATTGCTGGATATATTTGCATTCATTAAAATAGTGGTAACTATTATTTAGCTTTAAATTACACGGACAAGGCCTTTGTATAGTATAATTATTACCTTTAAATATTACCTAGGCAATATTTATCTGTTTTAAAGGCTTTGGTTGGTTTAGTTTAATCAAATCCCTAAACCTTTTAGTTATTTAAAAGAATAAAGGCATTTTTTTATTATTTTTTTCTTTTTCTATTAGCTTATCCTTCCATAATTCTGCAAAATTCGGTGAAATAATTAATTAAAGTAGTTTTAATAAAATTATATAAAGGTCTTGCACTTTGCTAAATTTTACCTATATTTAGCTCTACTGCTTTAGTATAGATATTTTCCCATTGGGAAATCTATAATTTAATAGAGCTAACTCGAGGTGCTTTTTAAATTGCATAATATTTTTAAATAATATACCTTTTTCAGGATTATTAAAAGGTGCTATCTTAGATTTTAATATTAATAAGATATTTAAGGCTAAATTATTTCCTATAATAGCTTGCTTATTATTATAGGATATTAAATTGGTAATAATTAATAGTATATAAAAAATACTATTAGTTAATTATATTTTTTAGATTTTATATTATATTCACAAATAGCATCACACCATAGGTCATGCTTTTTAGTATTAAGGTCTAGTATTAAACTAGCCCTTTTATTAATATTCGAAACATCAGGGTACTAAGGCTTCCTTAGTATATTTAGTTTAATACCTATATCAGGATTTATATAATCCCAGACGCCCTTATTTTAAGCAATAATCCTGATATTATTAAACCATAATAGCCAGTTATCTTAGCTTGATAGAATTGTTGACACCTTAGTTAAATTCATATAGTATTAATATTAACCTGCTTGATATTAATACTAATAACTATAATAAGGTTTGCACTAAACCTTATACGGCAAGACCTATACCTAACTAGGTATAGCTTCAACCTTAATTGGAATAAGGTTTGTCCTATATATAAAACACCTTTATAAATTTAAAATAGTGAAGCAATTCGGGAAGGTATATTAAATAATATAGGTATTCGGCAGGTTAAATAATAAGATATAAGAAGAAGATAAGAATAAGTAAAATAAAATAATATTCACAGCTATACCAGGCTTATAACTGTCGGAAGAAGGCGGTAGGGGAAGTAAGGTATAATAAATATTAGTAATATCTTTAATAGATTCTTATATTCTTGTAATAATAATATATTAAAGAATAAATGGATTAAATTGCTTGTCTCCTAATTATAAAAATTGCTTCCAAAGACCTGCTTTTATATTCGCATTTTAGTTTCCTTTTTGGGTAATTAAATCTGTATTAAAGTTTAGGTAAGACTTGCTTTAAAATTAACAGAGTCGTATAGCCAATTAATTTCTTATAAAATCTCATGGAAATAGATTAAAATATTTTATAGTTTTCTGTGACTTATAAATTATAACTCATAATTTTTCCATGGTTTTGCTGATATTTTGCAGTAGTAATTGGTGCCTGATATATTAGGCTCCTATTTCTGACACTAACTAATCAAGGTAAACTTTGGTACATAATATAAGGTTCTAGCTTAGAATAAAAGTGCCTAGGACTAACTATATAGACCCTATTATTAAAAATTAACTAAAATTCCCAGCGAAACCTCTATTGTACCCTAAAGCTTCACTAATTAATTTTAGGGCCAGTACAATACTAGACCTAGGCCTTAATAAAAGGAAGCTCTAGGGAAATGCTTTAGGGAGTATAACCTAAAAAGGTATTAGTAAAAAAAGATAGTAATATTTTATCTATACTACTAATTATATTAAACTTAATTTTGCTGATTAAGAAGCGGTACAGTAAACTATACAAACTAATATAGCACTTTGTTCCTTCCTTTTTAACATGGTCAACAGTGACAGAGCGTATAACAGAACGCAAAAGGCCGCGTATATTCCTATAGGATGTTATTATTAAGATGGCTGTTAATAAGAGAAATGTAGATTTTAAGTATTTTAAGCTAGGTTCTAAGATATTTGTAACCTTAGTACGTTTGAATACGAAGCTAATAAGGTCGAATATAGTATAAAATACAGTACTAGATATTTTATTGGCACATTTATACGTTTTAATAATAATAAGAACCTAAGATTAAACCAACCTGTTAAAATAGAGCAGTCTAACTCTGCAAAAATTAGAATATACTAGTGAATATAAGACTAAAGAACAATACTGCCGGTAAGTCGTTTTAGTTTCAATAAAATAGGTTAACACAGGTTATATATATGATATATCCTGTTGGTATCGAAGGGCGCGCTGAGCGCCGCTAAGCCGGCTGACCCCGCGCGCTCACCGCCCCGGCCGCTCAGCGGGGCCGTGGATATCCCGGGATATTTGAAGTTGCTCAGCGCACGGGCCCCCCAGCGGGCAGATTCGCCACTAAGCCGCTGAATCATCCATACCGCCGCAACCGTGGATATCCTGTTGTTATTAACAGGAAGTTAATCGCTATATATTTTTGAAAGCGCTGCCCAGCGCTGATATTATTTGTTCTAGTATTACTAGGTCAGAGCTCTTATCTAAATTTTATATAGACATAATATTATAAGTTTTAAACTTATTCTAACTCGCTGGTTGAGAAAACTTATCCAGATTCTAAGTAATTTAATTAAAATCACTAAATACCCAAGAATGATTTATTTTATATTATTAACAGGTTATAACAATATAAAATAGGGTTTTTTCTAATATTTTTAACTTTAAAGTGCTGGCTTTTGCCTATCTTTTGCTAATTAGCCTAAATATACTATAATACATGTTGCATATCCCAACTATTTTAAATCTAAGTATAAGATTTTTTATGCACTTTTAACATAAAAAAAAAATCTTGCTGTGTAGTAATTAATGTAATTAATTATATCAGTTAAAAATAACTGATAAAAAAAGTATTATTTATACGCAATGATTTTTCTAGTTTATTGATGGATACTCTTCTTTAAATGCATTAATTAAAGTGCGTTTTTTATATAGCTATTAATAGTACTGCCTTATACTAGAACTCTAAGAAGTAGTTAATTAATAAGCAAGCGCCACACCTCCAATATTTCTGTCTTTTTTTAATCAAGTTATTTAAACCAGAACCACCATGCCACGAGAAAGGGCCTTAGAAAAAAACTTTAGAGCATTAATAGAAAAAATTGTTCTAGTTATTTCTACATTAAAAAGTTGTATATTTAGCCTAAACGACAAGCTGCACAGGTGTCTTGAATATCTAAAATAAACACTACGACAGCAGCTTTATAGAGTAACTTTATAGCCTAAAAAGCACGCTAATAATTATAAATCTACTTTAAAAAAATTTTTTCTTGTGTAATAATACTATTAGTATCAGACTAGATATAAAGCTCCTCCCTGACTGTTATACAACTTTATTAAACAGTATAATAAATTTAATATGGAATATTTTTAATATATCTATTAGCATGCTAAATATTCGAATAGTGCTGGCAACCTACTATACTATATACAAGAGCCTGTAAAACACGCAAGCTCAGAGGAAGAACATAGTCAATTTCATTGATCAGTGTGAGGTTGAAGATGGAAGGTGGACGAGGTCAAACGCTCGAAGTATGAACGAACGACGTAGGGTGACCGCTGAGAACCACTTACGCAGTTCCAACCCGTACGAGCGTGCAACAATGCCAGCACAATTATTATATAATTGTTATTCTAGGCTATTAAACAAGCAGACAGTTAATATCTGGTTAAGGATAAGGCATAGCTTTTGTTTTAACTATACTAATAAACTTAATTTTTTAAAAGCCTATCCCAGTGTGATAGATTAATCTACTTGACCGGGTAGATTAACCGGTTAGCTGGGTAAGATAAGACGGCACCCCTACAAGCAGGGCCACCTTTCCCATACAAAATAGCACTTTTTGATAATTTTTTATTTCACCAACTATAAATAATTCTTAATATAAATGGTAATTTATATTTATTATATCTAAAAAAATATGTAGAATTTTTTTTAACTTAATTATTTAATGTAGAGAAAATGCAATGGTGTATTAATATTTTTAAAAAATCCCATATAAAAATATATGGTGTTATCTAAATACAGGTATTAAGAAATTGGTAAATAATATAAATATAAAAATAATATTTTAAATTATAGTAAATTTAAATAATTTGTGGCTAAACTTAAAATATAAAGTTATTAAAAATTAAATTTTTTAATTTTTTATTACCTCCCCATATAAAATTTTTTATATGGGAAGATCTAAAGTTATCTAAAAAAATCAAACCTTTTTAAACCCCTTTAAAAATTTAATATAAATTATATATCAGAGTAATGTATGCTATATATAAAAATAGAATATAAATATTTATTATTGGTTATATTAAACATAGAATTTTTATTAATTTTTATATGTATTTTGTGTGCGCAGATATTTTAAGTATAAGAATATTTAAAACACTTTACAATACACACAATATAAAAACCTTTAAAATAAAAATATACATAGGTATTTAACAGTAACCTTAATATAAAATACCATTTATATAACAAATTACACAGTAGATTGTAGACTTATAAGCCTCCAAAAATGTCTATTTTGTATGGGAAAGGTGGCCAGGCCCGTTTGGAGGGGTGGCCCGCTTGTAGGGGTACTATCTTAGTGTCGAAGGTGGTAGGGGAAGTAAGGTATAGTGAATATTAGTAATATCTTTAATGTAGTTATTCTTATTTTCTTATATAATAATAATATATAGAGGAAGAAATAGATTAAATTGCTCGCTTTATTATTATAAAAATTATAGTCAAGGACGTGCTTCTATAGGCATTTTGGTTTCCTTTTTGGGTAATTAGATCTGTACTCAAGTTTAGGTTAGACTTGATTTAAAATTGATATTATATAGCCAATCAATTTCTTATAGAACCTTATAGGAATAGATTGAAATAATTTATAGTTTTCTGTGACATAAATTATAGCTCATAATTTCTCCCACTCCTGCAGATCCAGCTGCGAGGCGGAGCGTGTTGCCAAATCCTTCAGTGCATCTACGGCCGGTCCCTCTTGCAGGGCACAAACAAGTAACTCTCGAACGAATGCACCATTCCGCATCGGCGAGCTGAATGCAGTCATGACGATCCTGCTGGTATTTGCGGTAGTAATTGGTGCCTGATATATTAGGCTCCTATTTCTAACAAATAGTAGAAGCGAATATCACCTATATCTTATACCAGAATAATATATAGAACGCCCATAGATAAGATAACTATACAATTAATAAGACCATGACAATACATTAACGCGTCATTAATATAGTACCGTAGCTTTGCGTCACTGTATAATTAGCTTATTAATAAGGGTTTAGAACCCGACACACCTAGAGCCTGTACGGAGGCTTCAAAGTAAACTTTTAGGCAGCTTAATATTCAGCGACAAAGTCGTATATCTCCGGGTAGTTAATTAACTAATTGAGTACTAAAAACACCTTATAATTCCCCATAATTAAAGAAGCAAGAAGCTTAGAAAGGGTTTAAAAAATATATAAAAACTTTATATTTTTAAAAGTATAATTAAATAGGATTACTAAAAGGTATAAAATAGCCCTAAATAAAGCATTTCTTGCATATAAAGAAGCAAGGGATTTACAAGCTGTAAATCAAACATAGGTTGCCTATTAAAAAAAGTAATCTAAGCAACAAATAGCTATGATAAAGGGCCTTTTTAGAAAAAAAGCCCAGGAGTGTGGAATAAGGTTTGAAAAGCTTAAAATACTATGCTAATAAATATAGGGCTATTTATAGTTTAGTAACGTATAAAAGCACCACCACAGTGTTCTAGAAGGCTATAGTATTTAGGGTTATAAAATTAATAAATATCCTTCTTAAAATAGTAATAAGGTTTTATAAATAGATATGCAGATTCTTTGGTGCTTTGTATGGCTTCCTTTTTACTAACCGGGAGAGAGGTGCAGTGCTCGCTTATTAATTACACTACTAGCTATTCTATATAGTAAGTTTATAACATAATTAGACACGCAGTGTCCCGATTTTCTTTTACGCAATAAAAGCAGCAGTTGCAAATTCCCTTACACTACTACCTATATTATTAAATGGAGGATAATTCTTATATTGGGAGAATTCTCCTGACCAGGCACTTAAATTCAGAGAAAAAAATCAGACACTCGGTGTTCGATTACGTTGTAGTTATTGAAATTACTCGCCTTTGTGGGACCAGCTAAACCACGAAATATATAAGAATATCATAAAGCTTCCCAGGAGGCATATTGTATAAAAAATGCGTTCTATTAGGAAGCCTTCGCTTGTATAGCTTGAATTATAATATATCTAATAAAAAATTCGCCCCTCTATATTGGGTCCTACGTAATTTCTCTTAAATATGTAATAAATTATATATTTACAACATAATTCTTAGAAATAATAGGCTTAAGTTTTTATATAATCCTATAGCATTTTACAACTAAAAAAGTAGTAAATATACTATCCTCACTACAATTTAACACTGTCTGGAAAGTATGTAGATCTTTTAAATAGCCTTTTTTTAACGCTATTTAATAATATCATAGGTATAATTTTAAGAGAAGAATCTAAGTTGGAGATACCCAGATATTAAGTAAATAGTTACTTTATAATGCTGACTAAAGCCTTTCTTTATATTTATAATATCCCTCTAGGCCTACTATAATATAATCAGTGAGCACCGGACCTTTTTAATTAGTAAAAATCTATATAAAACACCAAAAAACTTCTATTTTTATATAAAACCTAATTACTAATTTAACTAGGATATTTAATAATTTTATAACCCCGAATACCATGGCCAGAATAATGTGGTGGTGCTTTTATATATTACTAAAATATAAGTAGCCCTATATTTACTAATATAGTATTTTAAGCTTTTTAACCCTTATTCCCCCATTGTAAATACTCCTAGGCCTTTTTTATAAAAAAGGTGTTATTATAGCTATTTATTGCTTAGATCGCTGTTTTTTAACAGTTTATTTTACTTGCAGCTTGTAAACCCCCCGCTTTTTAATATATAAGAAAAGCTTTATTTAAGGCTAAATATTATGCCCTTTAATAATCTAGTTTAATAATACGTTTTAAAATATTAGGGAATATTTATATACCTTTAGCTATTTTTTTTATTTAAATACCCGCCCCCCTAATTGCAGAAAATTATAATGTTCGTTTAAGCACTGAATTAGTTAAATAACTACCTGGAGGTACATACTAGGAGAGCTCGGAAACATAATAGCCAGCCTGGGCCTTAGTTAAAATGCTTAGTTAAATGCGAAGTGTCTATATTCACGCCTTTAGGCCTAAACCTTTAAAAGGCTAGTAATTATTTCTGTAATACACATAGTCCTATCTTCCCTTTTATATAGATACTCCTATTTGCACTATAGTGCACTATTTAGCTCGTCACTAACTCCACATATAACAGTGTAGGACTTTTAGTTAAATATTAAGTTTTAAAAGCTTTTTCTAGGTTAATAAAACTAAGCCAGTTCCTAAAAAGCCGCCACTCTTAATATTCTCCTCCTTTTAGGGCCTCTGTACGGACTCTGGTATAGGGTTTAAAAAAAAGGTTTATTAATATAGTTAAAGCTAGCTATATTTTATTTTAGCCAGATATCTATACACATAATTTGGTGGCCTAAACAACCAATATCAAGTAATTAAAGAATATGTTATAAGTATACTAGTATATAAATTAATATATAAATTTTAATCTTATCAAATTAAAAAGTAGTTAAATAGCTTTTATAACTATTAAAAAAAAACTAGTATGTAATATTGTCCAGTTATATAGCTAGCTATAATAAAAATAATACTTTTAAGCTAGTATAGCTTAATTTTATTATTTATTTATTTTTATTAACTTTAGTCCTTTAGTAATTAGTAATCTTTTATACCAACTTTCTATATAGACCTTTCCTCTAAAGCTAATACAAGGAGAAAATACCTAACGAGTAAAGTTAATATATTTAATAGTAGTTACTAATACATTTTTAGTTATTTACCTATACTAGAAATAGTTTTCCCTGTATATTAGTTATAATAACTACTTTAACTACCAGGCCTATTATAAAGCTAGTTTTATTGTATTATAATATATACATAATTAATATTTGTTTAGGATCCTTATATTTTACCTGTAATTATATTATTAAAAATATTTTATTTACTACACTATTTAATAAAGCTCTATACCTACTTATTACTTATAATTTAAAGGGTTAGCGTTGCATGTAAGGGGGTTTGGCCCCTTAGCCCTCGTGTTTCCTTTCTCCTTGCCTATTATATAATTAGTATATTAATTAGTACACTTTATTACGTGGCCTTTTCCACTTTCTTTTGTTTCACAAATTATCTTATTACTGTTTCCTTTTTTTTCCCCTCTTAACAATTCCTTTTGTACCTACCCTAGATATTAGATGGTTTGGCCCTTGACATCACGCTTTGTTAAAAAATTAGCTATTTCTTGTATATAAAATAATTAGGGTCCTTAGGGAGCTTTAAATATATTAGTCTAATAATAATATATATTAAACAAGTAATTTCTTAATACTAATAACTATTAGCATTTTTTTAGATGGTAGAGTTACTTTTTTAAGGCTATTATTATAGCTGTTTTTCCAGATATTTAATTAAATATTAGCTATTTATATAATTATTAAATTTAATCTTCTAGCTAGACTTTTAAACGTTTTTATACAACTAGCTAAGCTATAGGTATATATTACAATATTTCAACCCCTTTTTAAGTAGTTTATTTAAAAAAAAAAAAAAAAAATAGTATAGTCCTTTTTATAATAAATGCCAGGGTAATAAACCTAGCTTCTAGCACCCTAAGACGTTATTTGCCTTAATAGCGGCCTTTAACCTTAACTCTGTATAATTTAACATAGATAATACCTTTCTAAATAGTGCTGCACTAGATAAGACTATATATATAATTTTTTACCTGGCTTAAATTAAAAGAATAAAGCTTTAAATTAAGTACGATATAATATAGATTAGAAAGATTACTAAAAAGAGTAGGTAAAATCCTAATAAATTAGGTTTAAATCTAGTTCCTGAAAGCCCATTCATTCCCCATACCTATTATAAATAAATATCTTATTTTATTAATCTTTCCTAATAACATAATTATATTATATTACACAAAGAACAAAAGTTTAAGAATTTAAAACTAATCTAAGTCCTTAAAAAAAATATAAATAATCTTAGTAAAATAACTAATATTTTTAATATAAAAACTATCAGGAATAGATTATCACAGGCGAGTAGCCAATTTAACCTATATATAATAAATTTAGACTAAAAGAGAAGTCACTAAGTTTCTAGCTACGGCCGCAGCAGCCGAACGAGTAAATTATATGTATATAAGGTAAACAAAATTATATAATTAAAAAAGTTTTAATCTTGTAAGCACCAGGCTCAAGCGCTTTGTAAATTAAAATTACCTAAAAAATTTTTTACACTCTAAAATCTACTTAGAACTGCTAATTTTATATAAATACTACTGGAATTTTTAGTAGAACCTAAGTAAAAATATAAAATATATTAAATTATATAGTTTCATTTTTTTATAGCTTAAGATATTTAGCCATAGAATATTTAGGATATCTAAGAATTAATAATTTAGATTTATTCAAGTTAAGATTTATATTAGCTAGTAATGCTGAATATAAAAGTAATCTAAATTAATAATGCTTTAAAAGAATATTAGTAGAAATAGTAGCCTAACATATCAGGCACTAATAAGTTATAATTTGTCACAGAAAACTGTAAAATATTTTAAGGGATTTTATAGAAATTAATTGGCTATACCACTATATTAATTTCAAAGCAAGCCTGATCTGGACTTGAACAGAGATCTAATTACCAAAAAGGCAAAAAAAAAAAAAAAAAAAGAAAATATAAAGGCAAATCCTTTTACGCAATTTCCATTGACAATAAAGCGAGTAATTTAATTTATTCTTTTTAATTAGGCAGCAATAGAACAAAAAAAACTGTTATTACTTTTACTACTAGAGCTAAATTATTAGCTACTTTAAATACTATCAAACAACTATATTAATAGAAACAACTATTTAAAATCGTAAT